GGAGCACCGGACTGAAATCTCAAGGTCCAAATCAGGAGCAGAAGGAGAGCGAGCATGAGCAAGGAACTCAGGACCGCGAGGGGTGCACCCACACACTGAGACAATGGAGATGCTCTATCGGGAACTCACCAAGGCCAGCTGACCTGGGTCTGAAAAAGCCTGGGTTAAAACCGGTCTCACTGAACATAGCGGACAATGAGGACTACTGAGACATCAAGAACAATGGCAATGGGTCTTTGATCCTACTGCATGTAGTGGCTTTGTGGGAGCCTAGGCAGTTTGGATGCTCACCTTATGAGACCTGGATGGAGGAGGGTGGTCCTTGGATTTCCCACAGGGCAGAGAACCCTGAATGCTCTTTGGGCGGACGAGGGAGGGGGACTTGATTGGGGGAGGGGGAGGGAAAGGGGAGGCGGAGGTGGGGAAGAGACAGAAATCTTTAATAAATTAAAATAAAAAAAGAAGGTGAGACTGTCATTCAGGGTTCCTGCTTCATGAGATAACTGCCAGACATTTTCCAGAACACAGAAGAAAGCAAATGATGGACTTTGCCAGTACAAGGCATAAGAGATCTTCAGATTTCCTGCTTCATGGAAAAGTCTGCCAGATACTATGGGCTATAGCTGAGGATGGGTGCTGCAATGATACAGAAGAACTGTGGGTCACTGTCCAGGCAGTTAGAGGTCTCTGTCTGCTCTAGAGTATTGCAAGTTGCTTACAATGCACTTCCTGTTAACTTAGGTAATATATTCTTCTGGTGTTTTGTCGGAGTTGAAGAATAGATAGTTATAGTTTAGTTATGATTAAAGATTAAGTAGATATAAATATTGTAACTATAATTCTTGCTTGATAACTTTTATTGTATTAATCTTGCTATGTTGAAGTTAAAACCTTTTTTTATTTAGACAGAAAAGGGGAGGTGATGTAGGATTCCCCTCTGTATGCTGTGAATACCATTGGTTAAAGAATAAAGCTGCTTTGGCTTACAGCAGGGTAGAATTGAGTAAGGCAGGAATTCCAAACAGATAGAGGACAAAAGAAAGTGGAGTCAGAGAGCCTCCAGAGGAGAAAGACCTACACACGCACCAGTACCGGTAAACCATGAGCCTCATGGTAAACAACAAAATAATGGAAATGGATTATTTTAAGATACAAGAGCTAGCCAGAAATACGCTTAAGCTAATAGGCCAAACTGTATTGCAATTAATATAATTTCTGTGATTATTTCGGGTCTGGGCAGCCGGGAACAAACGAGCGGTCTCTGTCTACACCCCACTTTACCACTTCCTGTCTCTACCTACCAAGTGCTGGGATTAAAGATACATGCCACCACTGCCCAGCTCCTGTGGTTAACTAGTAGCTAGCTCCGCCCTCTGATCTCCAGGCAAGCTTCGTCAGAACATAATCAAATATCACACAGCAACACCTTAAAGTATCAGGCTCATCATTTGGTCTGTTTGTTCCCAGCCTCCTGATGTCCGTCAACAGCACTGAAGATTTAAAGAGATTGGTGTCATGCCTTCACATTTCTCTAAAATCCCAGAAAAAGAATGTCAGCAGCCAGCTTGCAACATCAGTGCCTATCCAAAATGAAATGCAAGGTCATTTAGTTCACAGAGGCCCATTTAATTTAACTGCATTAATCATTAATTTCCCATCTGTATTGACAGCAATAATAATCAGATGATGCATTTAGAGTTAAAAGCCAGAGTCAAGCTCTGAATTTTAGAAGAATTTATCTAAAACTCTGGTTTGTTTTTTTTTTTTTTTTTTTTTCAGGAGAGGGTTTCTCTGTATAGTTCTGGCTGTCCTGGAACTAGCTCTTGTAGACCAGGCTGGCCTCAAACTCACAGAGATCCACCTGCCTCTGCCTCTGCATGCTGGAATTAAAGATGTGCACCACCAACATCATTCTAAAACTCTTTATCAAATACTTTATTTAATTTTAGACTCTTAAGCATTTTATAATGGTTTATATGTTAGCTTCTATGATATGTGTCATTAGAAAAAGGGTGATTCCCCTGGCGGTGGTGGCGCACGCCTTTAATCCCAGCATTTGGGAGGCAGAGGCAGGCAGATCTCTGTGAGTTCGAGGCCAGCCTGCCTGGTCTACAAGGGCTAGTTCCAGGACAGGCTCCAAAGCTACAGAGAAACCCTGTCTCGAGAAAAAAAAGAAAAAGAAAAAGAAAAAGGGTGATCATAAGAAATAAGTTAACCAGCCGGCCGGTGGTGGCGCACGCCTTTAATCCCAGCACTTGGGAGGCAGAGGCAGGCAGATCTCTGGTCTACAAGAGCTAGTTCCAGGACAGGCTCCAAAACCACAGAGAAACCCTGTCTCGAAAAAGAAATAAGTTAACCTTATTTTGTAAAACTTTTATAGCTGATTCTTACAATTTTTTTCTGTGTATTTGGTATGGAGGAGGGAGTAGTGCTCACAAGCCATGTAATTTATGAGAATGTAAAAGGACAGCTTGTGCAGGTTAGAGCTCTTCTCTCCCGTGTGGGTCTTGCAGATCCTACTCAGGTCGTCAGCCATGGCAGCAGGCTCCCTTACTTCCTAAGCCATCGTCAGCACAGTTGTGATTCTTTAGACTGGAATGATAAATGCCCTGAATTCTTTTGAGGAAATTAGTATTTTAGCAGATGTATATACCTAACATTGTTTGTTGTTCTAAAAGTGAGAAATGCTTGTATTTATCATTTACTGATAAATCCTGTTTAGTGATTTTCTTAGTGATACTAGAAAACCAGTCACTTTTATCTCAGATGTTATTTCTTCATTTACTAACCCCAACATTGGGCACAGAACATTCATCTTTAAAACCCTGTTTTCTTATACCTAGCCTGTTACACAACATGAGGGAGGAGCGAGATGCTTATGGGTTTCAAAGACTTCACACGTGGGTCACTAATGGATCAGGACTTGAGCTTTGCTTCTCCTGACAGACTTGAGCAGGGGCAGAAGTGGGATTATAAGCACAAAATTCACAACATTTATTGCCAAGTTACAATTACAATTTTTACCAGTCAGAAATCAAAGATTGGGACTTTCCTTGTGTGTTCCAACCTTGTTAATCAACATACAGTGCAAGCCTTTTAGTCTAATCCATCAGATTCGTTTGTTCCTTCTGTTGTTAGCAACAGCCATAATGTTTCTAGAGGACGAAAGATGCATAGCAGCTATGTCTGGTTTAGAAAGGAGGTGGGTCAGCTACTGGGAGGTTCCCAGCTCCCCTAGGGCTTGGGAACTTAAACTTTGTTTCTCCCTGTAGGTTAAATGGAGTCTGAAGTCAAAATGGCAGCACTCAGGCCAAGGTGCTTTTGCCTGCTCCCATCACAACAAAAATATAAATACAACCTTTGTTATCATCATCATTCTGTATGTCCGTGTGGGTCCTTGTGACATGGAACTCATGTGGAGGTCAGAAAGCAGCCTGTAGAGTCAGTTCTGTCCTTTTTTTTTTTTTTTTTTTTTTTTTTTTTGGTTTTGGTTTTTTGAGACAGGGTTTCTCTCTGTGTTTAACAGCCCTGGCTGTCCTGGAACTTACTCTGTAGACCAGATTGGCCTCAAACTCAGAGAACCTCCTGAGTGCTGAGATTAAAGATCTGCACCACCACTGCCCAGCTTTCCTTCCATCTTTATGTAGGTCCCAGAGACTGGGCTCAGGCTGAAAGAGCTAGTACTTTACCCACTGAATCATCTCACCAGCATACAACTTCTTTACTTAAGCAACAAAATAAACATTACAAGAAAATAATGTCACATAAAAAATTTACTAAAATATTAAATAGTTAGGCTATGAGATTGCTACTTTTTTTATTACACTTTTTCTTTGTGAAGATAAGCCTTCAGAAACATTCTGGATGTTTCTTCACTGTGTGTATAAGGAAGGTGATGTTGCTTGTTTGTTATGTATATAGACAGGGTCTCCCTCCGTGTAGCTTAGAATGGTCTCAAACTCATTATCTCCCTGCTTCAACCTTTTGCTCAACCTTTTGCCTGGCTATTTGAAGTTGTATCTTTCAGTCCTGGAATCTCTTGAATTTGTAGATTTTCTCTACTTCGACTGCTTATAGACATTTCCTTTATTTTTTTTTTCTTTTCATCACTCCCTTTTTGGCAGATTTAACTTTTTCTTAGAGCATTTTATTAAAGTACAACTAACTGATACAACCAGGACTAGCTAGTAACATTCTCTTTCTGCCTTCTTTGTGTAGACCCTGAGTTCATTTGTCCCATTGCCTGCGTTCCAGATCACAGTAGGCAGAATTCCGCCATCCTACCAGTGACCTCATTTCCAGCCATTGTTAAAGAGTTACTGCTGCTATAACAAATGTTCCCAAATTTTCATGCCTTACTACAGTGGGGATTTATTTCTAACTCCTCGGTTACCTGTGAGTTGTCTGCAGCTCTCTGAATCCATTAAATATTTCTTCTCTGTGTTGCAGGCTATAGAGTAGTCAGTTTCAGAACAGATGATAAAGTAAAAATGGAATAACTTACAATTACATTCTTTGCCCCAAACAAGATAATATTGTTAGGCTTAATATTCATACAGTAGGGAGTATTTGTTTCTCTAAGGCAGATATCACAGCTCAGTGGGCTTAGGGACATGTATTTCTCTTCTAAGGAGATAGAATAGCACCAACTACACACCCACTTCTAGTTATGTATTTCCTAACAGTGTTTTCAGATTGGTCCATCTTAGCTAAAGATAAACATTGGAAACCACTAGTATCTAAGTAAGTATATCTATCACCTGCTAGTGAAGATATGATTGTGTCCTCATGGGAGAGTTGTGTGCCGAGGACACCAAGGCAAACTATCATTAGTGCAAGACCAGGAAAACGTGTTCTGGTACATAGAATTATTTTTGCTTCAAAAATTGGAATTTGGTTTAACAGAAAATCTAAAGTAAATACTTTAATTGATACAGTTTTTACCATAACAAGACATAATTTCCAAAAATTTAATGTGAACATCCACTTTATTTTTACAGAGATTTGCCTCAATATGGTCAGAAGCAGTGGCAGTCCTACTTTGGAAGAACTTTTGATGTTTACACCAAACTCTGGAAATTTCAGCAGCAGCATCGGTAAAGAGTTTCATAGCTAAAGGGTGTAAAGGTGCATTGTATAATTGTATATTCACAATAGTTCTGACCATGAACAAATCTTATTTTGTTCTTTATTTTGGTTTACAGTGTGTGTGTGTGAGTGTGTGTGTGTGTTACTTGCTGGAGTCAGATCTTGATTTCCACCATGTGGGTTCTGCAGATCTTCCTGGCTCAGTCTTGGAGCTTTTAAAATAACATATTTCAGTGCTTCTTGACCTTTTGGTTAAGATCAAGTGTAAAGTAGTATATTTCATGAGCCACATGAAAACAGTTTTTTTTTTCTTCTGTTTTAAGATTTTTAGTTTGTTCTAATTTTTAATGACGGTGTTGTATGGAAAAAGAATCTACTACTTGCACCTGGGAAGACGACCTGTGGTCTTCCAAACCACATTCTGAAATGTGGTTAGCAGTCCACACTGGGGAGGAAGGTTGCATCTTTTCTTTTGTGAGACAGGTCTCACTATGTCGCCTTGGCTGGCCTGGAACTCTGAAGACCAGGCTGATCTCAAGCTCACCAAGATCCATCTGCCTCTGTCTCCCAAGTACCAATATTAAAGGTATGGTCCCCCAGGCCCAATGGAACTATTGAGAACTTAGACTATATTCTCTCTTTTCTGTTTTCTTTTTGTTTGTTTGTTTTTTTCTTTTTCTTTTTCTGATATTGTATCTCACTTCATTATCCCGGCTGACCTAGAAACCCCTGAAAACTCATATCAATCCTCCTGCCTCTGCCACCTCAGAACTGACCTGTGCCTCCTGAGTTGTGGGATTACATATGTGAACCATTGCGACAGGCTTTCAGTAGATAATTTTTTCTGAGACAGGATTTCTCTGTGTAGCCCTGGCTGCCCTGGAACTTAACCCTGTAGACCAGGCTGGCCTCAAACTCACAGAGATCCGCCTGCCTCTGCCTCCCGAGTGCTGGGATTAAAGCTGTGCTGCCACAGTGTGTGCCTGGCTTCAGCAGACATTTAATAACTATTTTGTAAGCTAAGTATGTTGGTATACAACACAAATCAGTCAATTAATAAAGAATCATTTTTAATGGAGTTAAATGGTTATGTTGAAATTTTATTCATAAGTTGTGCTATTTTATCATTGAATTTACAGAACTGGTTATTTTTGAAATTTATGTTTTGTTATATCTATTTTTTGTCTTCTGTGTAAACAGACAAGTCTTGGATAATCGGTATGGCTTGAAGCGGTGGCAAATAGGAGAAATTGCTTCCAAGATTGGACAGCTGTATTACCATTATTAGTAAGTGAATTACACATGGGAAGAAGAAAGTGTTTCTTTGGTTAAAACAGCACGTAAGAGAGAGGACAGTGAGTTATACACAGAATTTTGTTCAGACCAGATGGATCAGGATGGCACCATGAAATGGCCTTGCATAATTCAAGCAGTGTTATTGATGTCAGGTGGTCTCTTTAGTAACTCATTTGATCAGACCTGAGGAATTTAATCTTTTTCTTAAATAAATGATGACTACTAAATATATTTATTGTTCTTGGGGCTTTTTAAGTCTTGATGGTGTGTACAGACGCAGTATGCATATTCACGGCCTCCTTTAAACACTCATCCTAGTTGGCTATGCTTGAAAGGTCCTGTGACAAAATAGACAGTAGTTTGCCTCCTTAGAATAGTGACATCTGTGCAGTCTCACCTTTGAGTGAAGGAAAGAAGAAATCTCCTTTTACAAATGTGACTCTCAGCACAAAGTAACATTAATAACCAAAGACTTGGGCCTCAGGTAGACAGTTCTCTGTGAGCTCAAGGCCCAGCCTGGTCTGCAGAGTGAATTTCAGGACAGCCAGGGATACACAGAGAGACCTGTCAACAAAACAGAACAAAAAGATAAGAAAAGTCCTTATCTTCCCAGCTTTGGCATGGCACTCAGAGTACACACCACTAAAATCCCTCTTTGTTAGAACAAGATCTTTAAAATCTTTTGTTATGGTGCTGGGAGTAAGTTATTAGAATGCTCACCCCTGGAGAAGACATATATGCCATCCCTCCAACATAAAGGTAGTACCAGCCTGCAGATAGGGAGAAGGGCTGGGACACTGCCATCTTTTGAACTAGACACAGCCATTGTAATCATGAACCCATAACACCTACAGATGTCTACAGTAGATCTGCACTGCAAAGGGCCCATTGACAGCCAGACCTTGATGGAGGAAAATCAGGGGGCCTTACTCACTACTGTGCCATTTCCTACTGGTAGATAATCTGTCAGTGCTGTGTTACGTACTTACTGTACCCTTACCAGATTCCATAGATAGTCCCAATCTAATGCCCTGATTAAACTAAATGGGTCATACAACAAAACCATGTCATGAATCTGGGAAAAGGACAGGAAAAAAGACTTGATAGGAGTGGGAAGGTGAGAAAGAGGAGAGAGTAACCAGAATTGTTATTCATTTGACTCTTTACTCTTTGGGGGCCTGCTACCCAGTTCCAAAATAAATACACACAGACGCTTATTCTTACTTATAAATGTCCGACCTTAGCTTGGCTTGTTTCTTGCCAGCTTTTCCTAACTTAAATTATGCCATCTACCTTTCGCCTCTGGGCTTTTAACTCCCTTTATTTCTGTGTATCTTTTCTTTCCTTCTTATTCTGTGTCTGGCTAGGTGGCTGGCCCCTTCTTTTCTTACTCCTTGATCTTCCTCTCCCCAGATTTTCACTCCTATTTTTTTCTCTCTGCCTGCCAGCCCCACCTACCTTTTCCCTGCCTTGCTATGGGGCGTTTATTAGACCAATCAGGTGTTTTAGACAGGGACAGTAACACAGCTTCACAGAGTTAAACAAATTCAGCATAAAAGAATGTAACACATCTTTACATCATTAAACAAATATTCCACAGATAAACAAATGTAGTGCATCTTAAATTAATATTCCACAACACAAGAATGCATTGTGTGTGTGCATGCACACATGCATGTAAAATTGCCAAAGCAGTAAATAAATTTTTAAAGTAAATTATTTTTCAAAGTTTCTTTTTTTAAGATTTATTTATTGTGTATATAGTATTCTGCCTGCATGCATGCCTACAGGCCGGAAGAGAGCACCAGATTTCACTACAGATGATTGTGAGCCACCATGTAGTTGCTGGGAATTGGACTCAGGACCTTTAGAAAAGCAGGCAGCACTCTTAACTACTGAGCCATCTCTCCAGCCCTGAAGGTTTCTTATTAAATTAGACATACTAAACAGACTACGTAGCTCATTAGCACCCCTCAAAGAGTAGTATGAGTTAATAAGGAGGAAAAAGCTAAAGAAATGGGTGAAGATTTCAGTACCAACTGATTAGGGAGAGGTTATAGAAGGTCTAGACCTGGGAACAGATATACTCAAGTAGAATGCTGACATTTTGTAGAATGGGAATGACATGTGCTTTAATTGACTTCGAAAAAGCTTAGGAGCAGCAAGGAAATATTTTGTTGTTGCTATTGTTCCTAGACAATTGAAAGACAACACTAGTAATACTTTGCTAACTCTGAGTTAGCATAGTCATTAGCATCCCCCTGTGTAGAGTTGGACAACTGGAACAAGTGTTTCTCATGAGGAATACACCCAGTTTGATCATATTTAAATTTTTTTCTTATAGTTTACGAACATCTGAGACCAGCTATCTGAATGAGGCTTTCTCCTTCTACTCTGCAATCAGACAGAGATCATACTACTCTCAAGTTAATAAAGAGGACAGGTATGTATCATCTGTGCTTTCAGAAAGATGACAAGACATTCAGCATTTTAGCCCTAGTGTATCCATGTGCTTGCACATGCGAAGGTGAGAGAATGACTTTGAGAAAGAGTCATTCTCTACTTCAGCACACAGGTTCTGAGAATCCAGCTCAGGTCTTCAGGCAAGTGTCTCTATCCACTGAGCCATCTCATCAGTGAGGGGTTTTTATGATGTACGTAGGTTGCACAGGCTTCATAGGGAAGAAAGGGCTCTAAAACTAGGCTTCATTAGTGTCTTTGTTATTTCTAGTCCATGTAGTTTTTAGTTACATATGGATGCGTCTTCAAAAGCCTATTGACAACTATTACATACGACCAGAGAAAAAGGCTGCTAGTTTTCTTTGAATTTTCTTTTTTAAGCCCACTACTCTGATGTGTGGTAGCAAATATCATTAGCCCCAGCACTTGGGAGGCAGACGCAGGTGGAGGTCCGTATGGTACATAGTGAGACTGTCAAAAAAAAAATTCCCGAAAGACAGAAGCACAATACTGTTTTGACCACCTTGCCCGATTGAGCACCACTGTTTGCTTTATGGAATCTTGTAGTATTCATGGATCCCCGGTAGAAGTCTGTTGACTTGCCATATATTTCCCCTTGACAAGTGCGTGGGGAAGGGAAAGGCAAAGTGTGTGTGAGATCCTATCTGAAGAGGCTTTGATAGACACTGGGCAAGGCTGACTGACAGCCATCAGAGGAGCTGCAGCTAGAGAAATGATCAGCTACAGGGTTTCATTGCATTTCAAGGATTGTTGAAGAATTTTCAGGCACAAAAGATGGTGTGTTCCCTGCACCCCCAGACACAGGACTCACAACCAGTGTATAGTGGAAAATTGGCTTTTCTTAGTAGTAGAAGTAATAACATAGGTTTGATGATTTTCCTTTTTTTTTTTAATTTCATCTTTTTGTTTTTTTGAGACAGGGTTTCTCTATTTAACAGCTATGGCTATCCTGGAACTCTCTCTCTGTAGAATAGGCTGGCCTCCAACTCACAGAGATCCACCTACCTCTGCCTCTGCCTCTGCCTCCCAAGTACTGCACTCCACCACTGCTTTTCTTTTCTTTTTCTTTTTCTTTTATTTACTAAGATTTTTTTTTTAGTTTCTTTTATGCTGAACATGGTAGTATATGCCTTTAATATAAGCACTCAGGAGGCAGAGGCAGGCGTATCTCTGTGAGTTTGAGGCCAGCCTGGTGTTTGCCTGCATTTCATTTGTGCCTCATACCCAAGGCGGTCAGAAGACAGTGGAACCCCTAGAACTGAAGTTACCGATTATTGTGATGATGTGGGTGCTGGAGATTGAACACAGGTCCTCTGCAAGAGTAGCCATGTCTCTCCTCTCCAGCCCCATCATGGTATTGTTTCTTGTGCCTTAAATTCTCCGTAGATGCTTGTAGAATGAACGAATGTAGAAGGATGACTCAATGCACTTAAAAGGCTCCCTGGTTTTGATTTTGAGACTGGTCTCGTGTACCCCAGGCTGCCTTTGAACTCAGTACTTGACATTGAACTCCTGATCTTCCTGCCTCCACCTGCTGGGTTGTGAAAGTACAAGCACTTGCCAAGCTAAGGCTGTGTGCTTTTATGTGGAATTTTTGTCTCTGTTCTACAAATGATAAACTTTTAAAAGCTATCCAGAAGTCAAACAGCATGTTTTCCATTTTAATATAATGATTGATTTCTCTTTTATCCACCGTAGGCCTGAGTTGGTTGTTAAGAAACTCCGATACTATGCAAGATTTATAGTAGTTTGTCTTCTTCTTAACAAAATGGATGTTGTGAAAGACCTAGTAAAGGTAAATATACTTTATTTATTTATTTATTTTATTTATTTATTTATTTATTTTTTGGTTTTCGAGACTGGGTTTCTCTGTGGCAGGCGGATCTCTGTGAGTTCGAGGCCAGCCTGGTCTACAAGAGCTAGTTCCAGAACAAGCTCCAAAACTACAGAGAAACCCTGTCGAGAGAAAAAAAAATTTATTTTATATACCAATCCCAGTTCCCTCTCCCATCCTTCCACTCCCCCCTCACCTTCTCACCACCCCACCCCCCATCCACTGCTCAGAGAAGGTGAAGCTTCCCCTAGGAAGTCAAAGAAGTCTGTCTGAGCACTTGAGGTAGGACCAAGGCCCTCCGCCCTTGTATCTAGTTTGAGCAATGTGTAATCCCTGTGAATCAGTCTCTCTTGTGCTGAGACTATAAATGTATTTTAAAATAATAGCCAGGTGTGGCACTGCTTGCTTTTAATCCCATCACTTGGGAGGTACCCTTCCCCCTTACCCCTGTCTCTTTTTCTTTCTTTTGTGATCCCAGCCCTTGCTGCCCTAGAACTCATTATGTAACCCAGGCTGTCTGTTAAATTGACAGTCCTCCTGCCTTAGTCTTGAGTGTTTACATAGACAGCTTGATGGCAAACCGGTCCTGGATTAGCATGCCCCTCCATGATGGGGCACATCTCTTGAACATAAACTTGGTCGTAGGTAGTGGTTTAGACTCTGGCTTCCACAGGGCCCTCAGTAATAACAGGAGCCACAGACATCAAGACAGACCCCCCACAGCTGCATCAGGATTAGAGAGCAAATTATGGCCCTTGGCCATAGCCAGGCTCAGACATGTGGTCCCGAGTGGCAAGCAGGGCATCTACTTCGACCTGTTTCTCACTGCCCTCTCCTCTTCAGATCTGCCTCTCTCCCCAAGTAGACCTAGAGTGGAGCTGTTGAGATTAAATTTTTTTTACATTTATTTATTTATTGTGTGTATGTGTGTGTCTCTGTGTGTGTGTCTGTGTGTGTGTCCACGCATGCGTGCACAAGCAAAATAGGCACATAGGCATGAGGTCGGAAGATGACATGTAGGAGTTGGTTCTCTCATTTTATTGCATGGGTTCCGTATATTGAACTCAAGTTGTCAGGCTGAGTGACAGGGACATAAAAAGGACACTAGCCTTTTTATAGAGATTTTTAATAACCCCTTTTCTTTGGTATTCCTAAAACCAGGAGTTATCTGATGAAATTGAAGATTATACTCATCGCTTCAATACTGAAGATCAAGTCGAGTGGAACCTGGTGCTTCAAGAGGTGGCAGCCTTTATTGAGGTAATTTCCTTTTTTTTCCAGACAGGGTTTTTGTGTGTAGCTTTGGAGCCTGTCCTAGAGCTCGCTCTGTAGACCAGGCTGGCATCAAAGTCACAGAGATCCACCTGCCTCTGCACCCCCCACACCCACACCCCCAGTGCTGGGAGTAAAGGCGTGTACCACCACTGCCCAGATTTTCTGTTTGTTTGTCTTTTGTTTTGTTTTGTTTATTTATTTGTTTTGTTGTTTTTTGAGATAGGGTTTCTCCGCATAACAGCCCTTACTATCCTGAAACTTGCTTTGTAGACCAGATTGGCCTCAAATTGAGTCCACTTGCCTCTACCTCCCAAGTGTTGGTATTATTTACGGCATGAGCCACCACATTCAGATTACTGGGGTAATTTCCTGAGAGAAAGGTTGTCACAGTCACAGGTAGGCAAATGGCTGTGTTGTATGTTTATGGTGTGTATGTTACTTTGAGAAGAACAAATAGCAGTGATATTCTGTGTTGTCATTACATGCTTTTTTTTTTCCTCAGGCAGACCCTGTGATGGTGTTGAATGATGATAACACCATTGTTATCACATCTAATCGCCTCACTGAAACAGGAGCCCCATTGCTGGAGCAAGGCATGATTGTGGGGCAGTTGTCTCTGGCTGATGCACTCATTATTGGTAATTGTAATAATCAGGTAAAGTGAAATTATGCTTAAAACTCACTTTGAAAAAATTTGTTATTCTCATCATGGGATTCTTCCCTTATAAAATCCCTAACATCTGTGAGGAATGATTAAATCAATTATGCCATATTTATATATATAATACTGATGCTGACATTGTTGAGAAAGAATTTTTAAGGACACGGAAAGATGCTTATTAGTTTATTAATTTCAAACTGAGCTATATCCCCAGCCCAGTCAGTATTTATAAAGTGTCAGTCACATGTCCAGGGTGTGTATGTAGCAAAAAAGGCAAAATGTCTTCACTGATGGGTCTTCCTGTTTACCTGTGAAAACAATTATTAACAAAATAACTACGTAGATAATATCCTTTCAGCAGATGTGGCAAAGGAGAGGTATACTATTCTGATGTCTGGCATCAGGGGATTTGAGCTAGTCTAGGAGAAAGCACTTTGGTTAGGACCTAGAGAGTAAGAAGTTTTGCAGTGTAAGCATGTGAAACAGCAGTAACAGCTGTGCTGTTGTCTGAGCCTGTCAGCCTGGGAGGATCACACACTGGCAGAAGGCTGCACTGTGGGGAGGAAAGAGGGGAGAGCAAGAAGTACAGGAAAAAGCCAGGAAGGTTGTCTTTTCCTAAATGGACAGGAAACTAGCAAAGGGCAGGGCAAGGACAGTAATGATGAGGGCTGCATTTTGAGAAAGTAGGTGTAGTTCTTCATAGCTGTCTTATTACTTATTATATTTTAAGTTTTAGTTGTCAGACAAAGTAATGGGTTTCATTATGACACTTGCATATGTACATATAGATATGTATATTTAGCAAAAGAAAAGACTTTGCTGCTGTTCTCCCACCTCCCCTGAAGACATTCCTCTTGGATGTAGTTGTGCAGAATAGGTTAAAGACACAGTGGAATTGTCAGAGAAGCTAGGAAACTCACAGAAATCTTACTGAATGGTACTGTTTTCTTGTGCTACCGGAACAGAGGTAATAATAGATCTGTAAGGCTGGTTCCCACAGATGCTTTAAAGGATCAGCCTGCAGCATTGATCCATCATTGCATACGGAAGGAGACAAGGGTGGCTTTTATATTTTTGCATCATTGTACGCTGTATATGTGGTATAAGCTGTTTCTCAGGTGACCCTGCTTCCACGATTCAGCCTCGGGGGGAAAAATCCGTTTGTAAATTTAGAGACTAATTAAAGTGCTAGTGTGAGGACAGGAGGTGAGGTAGAGTGCCTGTGTGCTCAGAAAGCCCTGACTTTCAGCCCGGGGTCGGTGGCATACAGTTGTGACACCAGCACTGTAAGAGGAGGAACAGGAAGTCTTCTTTGTCTGCAGCCAGCTACATGAGACCCTTTCTCAAAAAAAAAAAAAAAAAAAAA